ATTTAAATGAACCATAAATATAAATAATAAAAATAAGTAATTAAATATTAAATAAACAATTGAAATAAATAATTAACATTCAAAATAAACAATTAAACATTCAATTAACAATTAAAATAAATATTAAATAAACAACCAAACAATTAAAATAAATAATTTAAATACACATTTAAATATTGAATAAATAATTTAAATGAACAATTTAAATAAATAATTAACAATTAAATATTCAATAAACAATTTAAATAAATAGTTAACAATTAAATATTTAATACACAATTTAAATAAGTAAATAAACTATTTAATTTTTAAATATTATGCTCTATCTATTGTCTCTTATACAAGGTCCAAATATTTTAAATTTTACAAGATGAATTACTATTTGGACGTCGCTATGAGACAGATCCCCGACAAAGTTACGTCGAACTATAATTTTATCGGCTTCGCATTAGTTCTAGATTTGTTGGATGAGGAGCGCGAAGACCTGTTACACCGATCCTGTTTATGACGATAACTTTGGCACGGTTAGGAGATGCATTCAATGAATGCGATGATATGTTTGACAAATTGAAGTTGGGGATATTTATACTAGAGAGCATACTGAGGTGTCATCACAATAATACGTCGATCGACGTCTTTCATTTGGAAGTTGTTGATGACATTGACACATTCAACAACTATTCATGGGGACAAAGCTGACAGTTATCAACTCTCCTCAACGATGCTGAGGTACGTATTATTCATTTGTGATTTATGTTGTACGTCATTTCGAAATTTCGATGCATGGTCATTAACTCGATGAACATTTAAATAATAATTAAATGATTATTTGAATGATAAATAATTAAATGATTATTTAAATGATAATAAATAACTAATTGAAATAAATTCAATAAACAAGTAACATAAATGTTAATTAAGCAATAAAAATAATTAATTGACATAAATAACAAAGAAATATAATAATTTAAATTTTACAAGATAGATTGCCATTTGAACACCGCCATAAGACAGATTGCTAACAAAGTTGCGTCTAACTATAACTTTGTCAGTTTCGCATTAGTCCTATATTTGTTGGATGAGGAGCACGCAGACCTGTTACACTGGTCCTACTTATGACGGTAACTCTGGCACAGTTAAGAGATGCATTCAAGAAATACGACGATATGTTTGACAAGTTGAAGTTGGGGATGATGTTTATACTGGAGAGCATACCGAGGTATCATCACAAGAAAACGTTGATCGGCGTCTTTCAGTTGGAGGTTGTCGATGACATTGACACATTCAACGACTATCCATAAGACAAAGCTGACAGTTATCAGCTCTCCTCAACGATCCTGATGTACATATTATTCATTTGTGATTTAAGTTGTACATCATTTCGAAATCTCGATGCATGCATGGTTATTAACTCGGTGAAATGTTAATATGTCAGCTTGAATTGCTCACTGAGCTAACAACGTTGATCAAAGAGGAGGGTCAGAGTAATATCTGAGGAGATACGGTTTGCAGGCGATAAGGATCCCAGGCAGTAACAGAGAATAGCGGAGATGGTGACAAGGAAGGTGGCGGTGGAGGGGTGGGGATGTATACAGATGTTTCATCAGAATCGTTATGAATGTCAGTGGAGATGGAAGAGGCGCCGATGGTGGGGACGAAATAATTGTAAATATTTTTTTATTTATGAAATAATTGTATATATATTGTAAAATTTATTTAAATAAGGTAATGAAATATTAAATACATACTACACACAACCAATTAAGATAATTTATAAATGAAATATCTAAATAAGAAATTAAATTAAATATTAATTTTTTATTTAATTAAGTGATTAAATAAATAATTAAACAACGTAATTAAATATTAAATAAATATCCTATTTGATCCAATCCAATAATCCAACGGATATTTGAATGTTAAATTCATATCCGATCATCTATGTTATCAGAAATTAGATCCGAAATTGAAAAAATTAGAAAAATAAAGATTTTATTTATTTTTTCATTGAAAATCATAGCCCCAACAAGATTTTAATTAATTATTTATTTTTTAAAAAAATTTAAACTATCTTGATGGGCTCACTTATTATAAAAGAAGGCCTAAAACGCGCGCGCGCACACACACACACACACATATATATTTCATCCTTTTGGAATGTTTTAGTGATATCGGATCGATCTATATTCATATTTGATTTATTTAGTTAACAGATTATCGAATTGAATCTCGATTGGGTTATCGGATTAAAACCCTAAATCCATCTCCCAATAATTTCGTCGGATTCGGATCAAATTGAAGTATATTGAATTTTTAGCATCAGACGTGACGTAGACCTGATAAACCAAACATACATTAAAATGTAAGCTTTTTTTTTATTTATTTACATTGTGATCCATAGTTGTAATAATTTAAAATGTAAGCATTTTTTTAAAACGTTTATAATACTTTAGTTTTTATGTAATTGTATAATAAATAACCAATTACTCTTAATTACATATATAACACACTATAAATAAAGAAAAATGAGGGAATCAGTGACATATTATAAATATAGAGTACATACAATTTAAGTAGATTACATATTTGTCGGGTCAATTTTCACGTAATCAATAACATACTATACATAGAGAAAATTGAGGAAACCAATAATATACTATAAATAGAGAGTACATACGATTTAAATAGATATTACACATCCGTTGGGTAGAGAGTAACATACTATAATCGAGAACTTCCCACTTGACTTCATTTAGTAGAAGAAATATATTTTCGACATTCTTGAATAATGTTCGATATCTTGAAAATGTGATCGTGCCTAATATTCGACTTCCATCTCTATTAGATATTCTCATGCATCAAGTGATTTATGTTCTAGTTAAATATTAAATAAATAATATATGTAACCAATTAAGATAATTAATTAATGAGATATTTAAAGAATAAATTAAATTTAGTATTAATTTTGTATTCAAATAAGTGATTAAATAAATAATTAATTAAAGTAAAGAAATATTAAATAAACAATGTACATAACCAATTAAGATAATTAAATAATGAAATATTTAAAGAAGAAATTAAATTAAATATTAATTTTTATTTGAATAGGTTTTAAAATAAATAATTGAATAAAGTAATTAAATATACATAACCAATTAAGATAATTAATAAAGAAATATTTAAACGAGAAATCAAATTCAA